AGTCGACGTGATGTGCCGGTGCCTGGAAGATGTGAGGGTCTGGATGGGGGTGAACAGGCTTAGACTCAACCCTGACAAGACCGAGTGGCTCTGGGTCTTGCCTCCCAAAGGTCAACTGGATGGTCCATCTTTAGTCCTGGGGGGGGGCAAATCTACCTCCCTCAGTGCAGGCACGCAACTTGGGTGTCCTCCTGGACTCACAGCTAAATCTGGAACAACATCTATCGGCTGTGGCCAGGGGGACCTTTGCACAGGTTCGCCTAGTGCACCAGTTGCGGCCTTATTTGGACCGGGAGGCTTTACTCACAGTCACTCATGCCCTTGTCACCTCAAGACTGGATTACTGTAACGCGCTCTACATGGGGCTACCCTTGAAGAGCGTTCGGAGGCTGCAGTTGGTTCAGAATGCAGCCGCGAGAGCGATTGTGGGCGCGCCGAGGTACGCCCACGTGTCACCTATCCTCCGCGAGCTGCACTGGCTTCCTGTGGGTCTCCGGACGCAATTCAAGGTGTTGGTTATCACCTTTAAAGCCCTTCATGGCATAGGGCCAGGTTACTTACAGGACCGCATTCTGCCACATAGTTCCCAGAGACCGGTGAGGTCCCATAGAGTGGGCCTCCTTCGGGTCCCGTCGGCCAGACAGTGTCAGCTGGCGGGCCCTCGGGGAAGGGCCTTTTCTGTGGTGGCTCCGACCTGGTGGAATCAACTTCTCCCCGAGGTTCGAACAACTCCCACCCTGCCGGCCTTTAAGAAGGCTGTTAAAACCCTCCTGTTCCGGCAGGCCTGGGGCTGATGTCCCCGGGGGGGCCGGGATATGATCGGACTCGCGGTATGACTGTGGTATGACTGCTTTATTTTACTGTTTTATTATTGTTTTTAACTTTGTACGCCGCCCTGAGTCCTTTGGGATTGGGCGGCATATAAATACTGTAAATAAATAAATAAATAAATAAATATTACATGTATTGACAGCTGCCAGAATAGTATTTGCCCAATTTTGGGAAAATGAAAATTTACCACCAAATCAGATTATAATTATGAAAATTTTAGAATGTGCAGAAATGGACAGACTAACTTTAGAGATTAAAGAGAGAGAAGACTCAGTTTACTTTAAAACATGGGAAAAATTTTATCAGTGGTTAGCAGCTCGATAGAATGAGAATGGATTGTGAAAGTTAATAAGATGAAGGACATTTATTGACTAGACTTTATTTTCATTATTTAAAAAGTTTTTTATTTATAATACAATAAAAAAAAGAAAACATTGGACATGATGTAACATTCCAGTTTGAACTCGATAAGAAAAATGTGGGTTAGACAGCATCACCACCAGATGGATTCGTAGCTGGCTGACCGGCCGTACTCAGCTGGTTTTAGGATTTAGCTCTATCTCTGACATTAATATTTCTTTCAACCATTTTCTTATCCTATTCCAATAATCACAGTCTTTAGGACATTCCCACCACATGTGATAATAGGTCCCTATTGCTATTTTACATTTCCAACATATAGGTGAAAGATTTGGGCCCATTTTGGCTAACCTCGTGGGTGGGAAATGCTATCTGTAAAACACCTTATAAAGATTTTCCTTATAAGAAGTGGCTAAAGTGAGTTTCCTGTTTCTTTCCCACAATTCTTGCCAAATATGTAAATCAATATTAAAACTGAAATCCCTACTCCACATTAACATAGTTTCCTTGACCTGCTCTTCAAACATTGCCTGGTCTAGAAGGTAGTGATATATTCTTTTAATCATTTTATCTTCGGTTCCTAATAATATTTTATCTAACTCTGTTTTTATACCCCAATCTTTTTTATCTTTCCTGTGTCTTGATTGCAATTGGAGATATGCCCACCATTCCAGTTCTATCCCTTCTTCCTGAAGATTTTTCCTTGATTTCAATTCTCCTCTCTCGGACTAGACTTTATTTTCATGATTATTGTTATTATTAGCGATTATGATTACTTAGTATTATATTAATTATTGCTACTTAAGATGAATGATACTTACTGATTAACCTTTTTATGATTACTATCATTCTTGGTGACTATAATTGTTTAGTATTATATTAACTAAGGTTAATTAATATTGTAAAGCTAACAAGATGAACGATATTTATTGACTAAGCTTTATTTTTATGACTATTGTTATTATTAGTGATTATAATTATTCAGTACTATAGTAACTGTTTAGCTAGTAGGATAAACGACATTTATAACTTTTAATTTTTATGATTACAATTATTTATATTTTTTATATTTTAGTATCATTTTAATTACTGTTATTTAACATTTATACCTGGATGACAGTCTGCTTGCTAAAGCGATGAATTACTGTTGGGGGTAACCCCACTATTGTATCTTTCCCTACCCTTATCCCAACCTCACTCCCCAACCCCATCCAACACCCTGACCGATCTTATCCCTTCCCCACCCTTATAAAATCTAATATTTTTTTTAAAAAGAAACTTTTAATTAAGAGCATTTACTGATGACTCAATATTAACTCTGGAGAATTTACTAAAGGCAATAGGCCCACTGATGTGAAAATTAAAAGAATTTGGTATACCAGTAAGTTAAAGATTAATAATCAAAAAATGAAGTTGTTAACAAAAATATGAAAATAGATGATCAATTTTAACTGATGAAGAAAATAAATTTTAAGACTGAGAAAAAGTAAAATGTTTGGTTAGCACCATGACAAATATGAATTTTATGCTATTTCAGCATAATTACATTAAAACATGTAATGAAGTTAAAAATGATAAGAAAGGAGAAATTACATTGTTGGAGAGAATTTCTATGATAAAAATGTTTTGCCTAGAATGATGTTTTTGTTACTATGTACTATTTAAACAATGGCAAAAAGATGCATATAAGTTTGTATGGCAAAGGAAAAAACCTTTGTGGGTGTATGAGAAATGGAAGACATTTAGAGAACATGAACTAGATTTGAGTGGTGTGAATATTTGTCATATGATAAAGTTAAGCTCAATGTAGGTTTTAAAAATCACTGTTAGGTGTTGAGAATATGAATACATACAAATCCAGGTTGTGTCCAAAACATGGCTTCATGGCTCTCAGCATAATATGTAAAATACATTATGTATTTATATATGTAAATAATAGTTAACATACTGTGAGATATTACAATTCTGTCAAAGGAAATACATAATAAAATTAAGAGAAAAATTGACACAACAGGGACATAATTGTCAATGTTGTTGTTGTTGTTGTTAGTTGCGAAGTTGTGTCTGACCCATCGCGACCACATGGACAACATTCCTCCAGGCCTTCCTGTCCTCTACTATCTTCTGGAGTCCATTTAAGCTCATGCCTACTGACTCCATCCAGCTACCTCATTCTCTGTCGTCCCCTTCTTCTATTGCTCTCAATCTTTCCCAGCATTAGGCTCTTCTCCACTGAGTCCTTCCTTCTCATTAGGTGGCCAAAGTGCTTGAGTTTCAACTTCAGGATCTGGCCTTCTAAAGAGCAGTCAGGATTGATCTTCTCTAGGACTGACCGGTTTGATCGCCTTGCAGTAAAGGACACTCTCAGGAGTCTTCTCCAGCACCATAGTTCAAAGGCTCAAATCTTTTGTGCTCAACCTTTCCTACGATCCAACTTTCTCAGCCATACATTGCAACCGGGAAAACCATGGTCTTGACTATGTGTACTTTTGTTGGCAGGGTGATGTCTCTGCTTTTTTGCCATAGCTTTCCTCCCCAGGAGCAAGCGTCTTTTAATTTCTTGGCTGCAGTCCCCATCTGTGGTGATCTTGGAGCCCAGGAAGATAAAATCTGTCACTACCTCCATTTCTTCCCCATCTATTTGCCAGGAATTGAGAGGGCCAGATGCCATGATCTTGGTTTTTTTAATGTTGAGTTTCAAGCCAACTTTTGCACTCTCCTTCTTCACCCGCATCAAGAGGCTCTTTAATTCCTCTTCACTTTCTGCCATTAGAGTAGTATCATCTACATATCTTAGGTTGTTGATATTTCTCCAGGCAATTTTAATTCCAACTTTTGATTGTCAACAGTTTTCTTATTTACTATTAATCAGAAAGATTCAAAGTAGACAAAATAATATATAGTATTGAATGTTTTAAGACTGTTTTAACTAGAATTGTGTACAAAGGATGAAAATGTGATTGTTAAAATGTATAAAATTTATTGGAATATGAAACAGAAGAAGAACAAGTGAAAGAATGTATGTTAAAATGAGCTGAAATTTTAGTTATAATATACAAATGGAACAATGGGAAAATGTGTGGTTGAAGGAATTAAAATTTACACTGTGTTATAATCTTAAAGAAAACTTCTATAAATTTGGCAATACCTACAATAAAGGAGTGGTTGGTGAAGATGATAGAATTTGCTGAGATGGCCAAATTGACATGCTTGATTAGAGAAAAGACAATATAAAAGAAACCCTTTATCAACTTTTAGTGTAAAACAGAGAGAAATGAACTTGTGACTTGGTTTTGATGATTAGACAGGATAGATTATAGAAAGAAGAGAGTCACAAGCTGACTTTAGAGAAAGAGATAAATTTACAACTGTACTTATGATTGCTGTAAAGATGATTGGAAGCCAATGCTTTATATCTTTTTTCCTTTTCTATTTTTCTTCTGCCTTTTTTATTTTTGTACTTCAGCTTTCTTTTTTATTTCCTTCCTTTTTTTTTTCCTTATTTTAATTTGTATTGATCTTTACTCTTGTTTTTAAAACTTAAAAACTTATACTTAAAATAAAATTATATTTTAAAAAAGATTGTACTGATCTATGGGAAGCCTTTTTAAAGGTGATGAGAAATGCTGAAATACATTGTAAAAGGGACTTGATGAAGAACTCCAGAAGGACCACATGTACAGACACACTAAAATGTGAGAATGAAAGCAAGATAATATACTTCCAAGAAGTATACTGCTTTTTAGATTATATAGTTAGAAAGTAAGGCAGACATTTATCACCTTCCCTCCCAAGCAATGCCTACTCACCTGGCATCTAACAGTTTGGGGTCCAGTGGTGGATACATAGATCGCACCACATCATCTACCCTATGAAGAAAACAAAGATGGCTAGTTGTAATTAAACAATGTACAAATTAAGGAAGCGAAATAAAAACTGCTATGCATCTCTCTGTCCATCCATCCACTCATCCTTCCCTCCCTCTCTCCAGTATAAGGGGGATGGCAGGCGATCAGCACTGCTTGTTCCCTGCTGCTCCTATTTGAATTGTCTGAACTATTCCTCAGCATATCTTTCTTTTGTTCCCTATATTAGCTTAGTGCGACAAAGTGCACTAGAGGTTGTTATCCTACTGTTAGTGAGGACATATATTACCAGTATTACCTCTGTCTACTTTCATATAGAGGGTAGACGTTATGTCTCAGGTTAAGGTGATGAAATTAAGGTGTTGTGAATTTCCCAATCAGGCAAGGGGGAGGGATTAAGTGGGGAATTAACTTTGAGCAGCTGCAAGATACTTAGACCTAGTCCCCTCCCCTTAAGTTCCTCATATATGTTAATTCCCAAGGAAAGGCAGGCAGTCTGGGAAGATTCTTGTACAGAACTTCTACAGTTCTTGTAGAACACAATAAAGTAGTCAACCTGAACCCTTCATATGTGGATCTGGTTGCTTGCACTTGACATAGAGAGATAGAAAGATAAATGTCTCACATTAGTGCTGCATCTTAGACTCATAGAAACAAGGTGTAGAAAAGGACTTGGAGGTCTTCTAGTCCAATCCCCTACTCAAGGCAGGATCTTTAACCAGGAAAAATGATTGCCCAATCTTTATGAAAACCTCCAGCAACCTCCACCCACAGAGTGGGTCACTCAGAGAAACAAACTGTTCCATTGCTTAATTTTCTGTCAGAAAATTCTTCCTTAGGTCTGGGTTGAATCACCTTCTGACAAACTTCCACCCATTGGTTCTACCTGAGGTGCTATGGAAAATAAAGTGCCCTGCCCTCAGGTCCTGTGGAGAATAAACTGACTCCCTCTTCCTTGTGATAGCCCTTCAAGTATTGAAAGATGGCTACTATGGCATCCCTAAACCTTCTTTTTGTTAGGCTAAACTTACTTAGTTCCCTTAGCTGTTCATTGTGTGATTTAGGCTCCAGACCCCTTATCATTTTACTCTTCTCTATACTCTTTCTGGGGTCTCAGCATTGTTTTTGTATTGTGATGAGCAAAATTAGGCACAGTATTCCAAGTGTGGCCTCACTAGTGCAGTATAGAGTATTATCACTTCCCGTGATCTTGATGCTTCCTTCTGTTGATGCAGTCTAGGACTGCATTGGCCTTTTTAGAAGCTACAGCACATTCCTGGCTCATACTTACAGTGGTCCATCAGGACACTTAGATCCTTTTCACAAGCATTACTGTTGAACTAGGTACCTCCTATTCTATTCTGTTTGCATTTGGTTTTTCATGCCTAACTTTTCTCACCAATGAACTGCATCTTGTTGGATAGGGACCAATGCTCAAGGTCTATAAAATCCTTCTGAATTTTGAGTCTGTATTCCAAAATGTTAACATCTCCTCCCCAGCTTTTTGTCATCCACCCTTTTAATGCCCTCATCTAGATCATTTATGATGTTTGAGAGGATTGTACTCGAGACAGACTCTTACGGTACCCCACTGCATTTCCTTCTTCTTATGCTCCTGTGATATATCCAAATGCATTTAGCATCCTGAGCAGTACTGCAGCCCAGTTTACATAACCCCTTCTGTAGAACCTTCCTATTCTATCCTGCAAATCCAGGGCATTAAAAAGAAAGAGAGCAAAGAGCAACAAGGACAACTACCCCAATCATGGAAGAATCCCATCTAAAGTATGACCAGCTGAAACAGTCCTTTTCATAAAGAAGTAAATTGCTTAAACAATAATCGCAGATTGTGTTCTGTATATCCTTCCCTCTGTTTATTCATTTGGTTTATATCCCATCTTTTGTTCAGGCTAAAGTGGTCTTTTTCTCCCCAGACTCATCCAGAGTCCTGCTCCCCACAAGTTCTTCACAACTTTCACCTTGGGCTGATTCGTTTGGCCACCACAATAATGTCACTCAGGCTTGCTGGGTACTTCATTTGGGCTCCTGACCCCATTGTCATGGCAACAAGCTTCTCAGTGAGAGTGTGGCAGATCTGTTAAAAAAATAAGATAAATTAGTGTTGCGTGCGGTGGGAGTTTGACTGTTACTTAATGTACTTGATTTACATATGCACTTCCTATGGACTGTGCACCTTCTGTGGTGCAGGATAATTTGCTATTATGATTTTTGAAAAAAAAAATAAGAAAAGTACCTTTAGGATAGCAATGCAGTGAGAGACCAGGCCCCTAAGGAAAAAAAATAGCAAATTAGAGAAACAGTTCACCAAAAGTCTTCTGCATTTGAACTTTTCCATGATTCAGTTTTCTGGTCAGACACAAGATCTTCTATTTCTGAGCATTCTGTAGGACATTTTGTTCTCAGCTCACTTGATGAATTTGGCTTTTGTCACCCAAGTTGTTGACAAATTTCTCTTCAAGAATTAATTAACCAGAACATCAATGCACATTCTGCAGCCAGTGATTTGAAGGGTGAAAAGAAATGACATGAAGCATTGATTTCTTCTCCTGTAAGAATGCATTGATTAGTGGTGACACAGTGGTTAGAATGCTGTATTGCAGACTAATTCTGCTGACTTAACTGGCATTTGCCAGCAGTTCGGCAGTTCGATTTTCACCAGCTCAAGGTTGACTAAGCCTTCCATCCTTCAAAGGTTGGTAAAATGAAGACCCAGATTGTTGGGAGCAATATGCTGACTCTGTAAAACCACTTAGAGAGGGCTCTAGAGCACTATGAAGCGGTAGGTAAGTCTAAGTGCTATTATTATTGCTATTACACATATGTAAAATCCACACATGTAAGGCTGAAAGACAATACCTGATTTTTTTTAACAGTAATTAAATTCATACCAATAACTTGTACAAATGACTAATAAGTTAGAATTAGATTTGTTCTAGCCTTTTCCCCAATACATTCTTTGTTATTCCATTTAAATTAGTATTGCAAAGATAAGATGCATTGGAAATACGGGGTCTACAACTGTCAGACAAGGAAGAAAGGGTATCAGATGAGATAAAACCATGCAAAATGTTAGCATGGTAGGATGGAGATAGTAACCACCAGAGCCGTGGTGGCGAACCTATGGCACATGTGCCACAGGTGGCACACAGAGCCCTCTCTGTGGGCACATGCACCGTTGCCCCAGTTCTAGGCCTTTAGTTAGGTTTTATAAAATCTTTTTGTTTTAGGTCTCTGCCACCGTGTGCAAAAAAAAAAAAAGTTCAATCAATCAACCAATTTCAACTTCTCGCTGTAAAGAAAAAAGATCTTGCAAAGTTGAAATTGATTGATTGAACTTTTTAGTCCCACTCTGTCTGCCGTTACCACTGCAGCCATGCCCTCCCAATGGGCCATGCTCACCCAATGGGCCCACCCAGCACCCAGTGATACATAAGTGGGTTCTGGGTTGCAGTTTGGGCACTCGGTCTCTGAAAGGTTTGCCATCACTGCACTAAAGGCTTTTGAACGGAAGCAAGAAACAATTTATGTGGCAGATGAGATTAAAAAAACAGGGTCTGCCAACAAGGATCTAGTTCTAATACGGAGGAAAAATGGGTGTTTAAGTTTAATAGTGGTCATAGTGAAAGGAAAGTATCATTCAGCTAAAAATGAATATTATTGGATAACAAGGATATTTTCAAAAGCCAACTATTTATCCTATTCAATTTCTTCTCCCCACCAACATAAAAAAATGGGTGAAAAATTATGGGTTTGGTTCAGCTATATTTGTCAAATACTTGACTATCAATCCTTTTTCAATGTAGTACTTCTGTACTAAGCATTTAAAGAGAAGAATTTGAAGAGATTTTTGGGCTTTATTCTCTGGTCCCATTTTGTCCCAGCAGAAGAAAAACAATCCTTTCCAGATTATGCAGCCTGGAAGACATTGCTGCCCAACTTACGAAGCGTCATCAATCCAGTCCTCATTTGCCAGGATTGCTTCAATATGTGGGTTTGTTATTACCACATCGTCCATCTCCAGTTCAGAGGGTTCAGATTGTGTCTCCATGGTGCCAATTAAATCAACAATAGGTCTAGGAGGAAGTACAAAAGAAATCTAAGGCATTGTTGGGTGTGTGTGTCAAAACACCCCAATTAAGCTTACTTTTGACCATTAAAATCAGTATGTTTTGAGATCAAAATTTAGTCATAGAATCCTTAATTGACTGTCATTTATTATTATTAACAAAAGTCATAGATTAGACATTTCCATTTTGGAATCCTTCAGATGTGCCTGCAGTGCTTAGACTCCTTAATTTTGGCAATCCTGGTTTCAAATTTTGAAAATTGCTGTCCCAAAACATTCCAGGTGAGTGAATGAATTACTAGAATCCATAACTGAAAAATCACCTCACCTGGTATCATAATGACTCAATAAGTCCTTGGGTCGGCAGTAACGATGCCTACATACCACAACCAGAGCCACAAAAGAAGCCAGGAAGATGGTTGCCAATACCCCAATGGCTACAATCACAACAGTCTCCATTGATGCTCCTGGTGAACTCGGGAGATGAATGGACAGTTCAACAGCAAGATGTCTTCAGAACACTTCTACCAGAATTGAAATTGAATACAATGAAGTCTTGTTGGTTGAATATACCAAAAATAATGAAACATTTAGCTTTCAGGGTCTTCTTTTATAAAAGAAATTGAGACTCAATATAATTGAAAAGACATAGAAGAGTTCTGTGTCAAGCAATGTGAATAAGTATTGAGCAGAGTTCACAGTCTTTTCAAAAAATAACATGGACCATACTAACTTTTTTCTCAGGTGTTAGAAGGTTGCTATTAGAATAGGAACTTAAATCCTTGCTAATATGTTGAAATGTTGAGTGATCTACTCATATATCCATATATCTACATTGTGCCCATCCTCACTTATTCTTGCTAGCATCTGTCAAATCTGCTCCCTTCTTGACTATTTTATGATTAATTGAAGTATTATATGCCTTTGCCAGATTTTTTTTCAACAATGAAAGTATAACTATTGTGCTGCAATTCATATTCAACATTGGTCCTGAGTATGCAATCTTGAGTATATGCTTGGTAAAATGAAATCACGGCTCATCTGATCTGTCATGTTTTAAAGTCAAAATGTCTGTTCAATCAAAGAGTTCTTTGGCAGATGGCAATTAATGTTTTCTTTCTGTATTGCTGTTTCTATTGTTTTAGGGCATTAACATGTTGGAATAATTAGAAAACAATTTATGAGTATCTATATGGAGAATGAACCAAGATTGCCCCCAAACTGGTGGGATAACCTGGTGGATAAAACTCATCACTGGAATGTGCTGATGGAAGGATATAAACTGTTCAAAAGAAACAGACCTAACAAAAAAGGAGGTGAACTTGCATTATATTTAAGACAACACTACATCCCTATAAAAATAGATAAACTAAGGATGAAAGCCTCCTAGAATGCACATGGTTCAATATAAAAGAAAAAAAAAGGATAGCCTTGCCATATACTACAGGCCACCCAACAAAATAGAAGAGATGAACCTATCTATCTATGAACCTATCTAACTATCTAACAAAATGAAATTCAATGGTGAAAAAAATAAGGTTCTACATTTAGGCAAGAAAAACCAAATGTACAGGTATAGTATAGCAGGTACCTTGCTCAATAGTAGTAACTGTGAGGGGGACCTTGGAGTCCTAGTCGACAATCACTTAAATATGAGCCAGCAGTGTGCTGCAGCTGCCAAAAAGGACAACACAGTGCTAGGCTGCATTAACAGAGGGATAGAATCAAGATCACGTAAAGTATTAATACCACATTACAATGCCTTGGTAAGGCCACACTTGGAATACCGTATCCAGTTTTGGTCACCACGATGTAAAAAAGATGTTGAGACTCTAGAAAGAGTACAGAGAAGAGCAACAAAGATGATTAGGGGACTGGAGGCTAAAGCATATAAGGAACGGCTGCTGGAATTGGGTATGTCTAGTTCAGTGGTTCTCAACCTTTTTAATCCCGTGACCCCCAACCGGTCGTAAGTCGAGGACTACTCAACTGGTGCAGCACCGTTTGCAGAATGGGACTTTTGGTGGGTTCAGCAGGGCAGAGACAGCCTGGACAATTCCTATTGGCTTTTGAAAGCCAATAGAATTAGACTCTATTCAAGAGAGTCTATTCTATTGGCTTTCAAAGGCCAATAGAATAAAAGGGAGTAGCACAGCTAAGGAAAAGGGGAAAAAAATGGCAGACTGCATTGTTTGGCGACCCCCGTGAAATGGTCATTCGACCCCAAATGGGGTCCCGACCCACAGGTTGAGAACCACTGGTCTAGTTTAATGAAGAGAAGGACGAGGGGGGACATGATAGCAATGTTCCAATATCTCACAAAGAAGAGGGAGTCAAGCTATTTTCCAAAGTGCCTGAAGGCAGGACAAGAAGCATCGGGTGGAAACTAATCAAGGAGAGAAGCACCCTAGAACTAAGGAGAAACTTCCTGACAGTTAGAACAATTAATCAGTGGAACAGCCTGCCTCCAGAAGCAGTGAATGCTCCAACACTGGAAGTTTTTAAGAAGAGACTGGACAGCCATTTGTCTGAAATGGTGTAGAGTTTCCTCCCTGAGCAGGGGGTTGGACTAGATGACCTCCAAGGTCCCTTCCAACTTTATTATTATTATTATTATTATTATTATTATTATTATTAACTTTTTGCTAATGAGTTAACAAATGTATGTGGGAAACACAGCACAGTAGTAATGGTGGATGCTAGCTACTTTGATATCAAATGGGAGACAAACTCTGAATCAACCAATCTAGCTGACAACTTTGTCATATAAAAGGTAGAGGAGGAAACTAGAGGACAGCTATACTGGGCCTAATTCTTATTAGCAGAGAAGAAATGATAAAGGGGGTTGAAATTGCAGGAGTTTTGGGGGGAGAATGACCAGGCCATATTATAATTCAATATAATGCAGACACAAGCAATAGATCACAATCAAACCAATGTCTTGAGTTGATTTCAACAAGCTTAGAGAGAACTTGGGACGGATACTATGGATGAAAATTTTAAAGGGGAAAACAACTCAAGAAGCTTGGGAAACTCTGAAAAATATGAGTAAAAAGCCCAGTCCAACACAATAACCACTGAAGAAAAGAAAAATAAGAAATCTAAGCAGAAATCTAAGCAGTTGCACATAGAACTCTCTGATAAACTAAAAGACAAAAAGGATAAGTATAAAAATGGAAAGAGGGACATATAACTAAGGCAGCATATCAGCATATTGCCTAATCTGCAAAAATGAAGTTAGAAAAGCTAAAGATCAGAATGAACTTGCAACAAATATCAAAAATAATTTTAAAAAGTTTCTTTCAAAAAAGAAGTCCACTAATGGGAGAAGATGCCAAGGAAGTGACAGGGAGGAGGGAGAAAACAGAGCTATTGAATTCATTCTTTAAATCTGTCTTCACACAAAAAGAAAAAAAATAGCCCAACCTACCAAAAACAGAACTGTAAAAGACAGACTAGGAATTTAAATTAAAACAGGCAAGAAAATGGTACGAGAATACTTGTCCACTCAAATTCAAATTCAAGGACCTTATGGATTATGGGTTCTGAAGGATCTGGAAGACGTGATCTCAGAATCTTTGAAACATACCTTTCCAAGATCCTGGAGCACTGGGGAACTACCAAAGGACTAGAAAAGAGCTGATCTGATTACCATCATTAAAAAAAAAACAGATCTAGGAAACTACAGACCAATTAGCCTGACATCAATATCTGGGAACATCCTGAAAAAGATAATCAAGCAAGAGATCTGTGAATACCTAAAAGCAAACATAATTAGTAGCCAACATGAGTTAGTCAAAAACAGATCATGCTAAATAAATCTTATCTCATTTTTTGACAAAATGATTAAATTAGTGCAGGGCTTTTCAATCTTTTCATCCATTGTACCACTTTTAGGATATGGCAACATCCGAGTACCACCAGTCGCCTAGCAAGGTGTCAAAAACTTGATGACCCAAAAAAAAAAAAAAAAAAAAGGAAAAAAGTAATGAAGTACAGGTAGTCCTCGACTTACAACAGTTCGTTAAGTGACTGTTCGAAATTACAATGGCACTGAAAAAAGTGCCCCCCAAGCCACAGCTGAGCAAGACACCTGCCTGCCGGCCTGGCAGTGCTCTTCCTCCTGACTGAGGTTTTCATTGTTGTGAGCATTTCTGTTGAGGATTGGCAGTGGGGGTGGGGGGTGTTTGGTTTTTATTCCCCCCCGTCTGCTGGGTGATTGCAGCAGGCTTTGGACACTTCACATGACCCTGGGACACTGTGACTGTCATAAATATAAATCAATGCCAAGCATGTGAATGTAAATTACAAGATCCTGGAGATGCTGCAACATTCCAGCTGATCGGCGCTTCTTCTAGGCTCAGCAGAAGCACCAGGATCAGCGCCAAGCTCCAGCTTTCACTGAGCCCTGACAGCCCCGAAGAAGCGCTGATCCTGGCGTTTCCACTGAGCCCTGACAGCCCTGCTGCTCCAGCTATCTCTCGCTCAGGCATGTGTGGTACTGCCACCAGTTCAGTTTATTTCCCTCCCCCGCTACCACTTTTCTAGGATGGTCGCCAGGTGCCAATGTACCACAGGTGGTACCCGTACCACTGATTGAAAAGCCTTGAAGTAGACCACAAGCTACTTCTTGCAACTTAGAAAAATGTGGGATAGACAGCATCACCACCAGATCGATTTGCAGCTGCCTGACACACAGCACTCAATGTGTAGTCCTTGACTACACACACACACATACACACACAAACACATACACACACACAAACAAACACACACACACACACATATATACACCTGCATGGAGGGAAGAAACAATGGGGAACCAAAGTTCTGTTTTAGGCCCAGTACTTTTCAATATCTTCATAAACAATTTAGATGAGATAATAGAAAGGGAAATCATCAAATCTGCAGATGATATCTGGCTGGCAGGAATAACCAACACCCCAGAAGATAGGCTCAAGATCTAGATGGATCTTGATAGACTTGAACACTAGTTCTCTGTGTGGATGCAACTTCTGGAAGTCTGTTCTGGGCCTGGGCAACCAAAAATTAGCTACTGGTTCTGCCAAAATGGTACGAACCAGCTGAATCCCACCACTGGTCCTAGCTAACACAATGAAATTCAGTATAGAGAAAAATAAGGTTTTACATTTACGCAACCAAAACCAAATGTACAGATACAGATTAGGTGAAACGTGGCTCAATAGCAGTAACTGCTATTGGAGTCCTAGTGCAGGGGTCCCCAACCTCAAGCTATAGTCCACTACTGGGCTATGGCCTATTTGGAACCAGGCTGCATATGTGATTGCAGCTCATTTTGCAGTTGAGCTGCATATGCGTGTTTGCCAGCATGCTGCTTGCATGAGTTGAGCTGCCTGTGTGTGTGTATGCCCACTGACTCACCACTCACGTAGCTTAGTTCCTCTCTTTCCCCCCAGCTGGGCTGTCAAGCCGCAAAGGTTGGAGACTGCTGTCCTAGTGGACAATTACTTAAATATGAGCCAGCAGTGTGCTGCAACTGCCA